TAGGTGAGAGATAAATTTCCTAGTATTCCATCACAATTTTAAATATATCTTTAAGATGTTGAGAGAGGGAAGTGAAAAAATGAATAACTTTCTCAGAGACTGTTCAAAAAAATTTTATTCACAAGTTTTTCTGGGTCACTTGTGTATAACTTTATTAAACATGAAGGCAAAACTACTGTTTTTTTTTCACATTACAGCAGGAATTGAATTACGTGTTTTTGTATATTATATAGAGTGATAGCAAAGATTTCATTCTAAACATAATATATGCATTAAACTTTAAAATTTCCTCTCAATGATGACTACAGAAACAACTATTTTTCTATGAATCTATTTGTGGATGATTTTTAAAATATGTACAAAAATAATAATTTGGCATAGTGCATTTATCATTATGAAGACAAAAGTTTGAGAATAAAAAGCCAGTCATAATCACCAAAGGGTTTGTTCATTTGAATTATCCAATTAATTTGAATATTTGGATAAAACCATATTGATAAGCATGTTAACATTTTTCTGGCATAATATGCTTCAGAAGTAATCAGCCTGGTTAGGTATAAAAAATAGTGGTGGGGATGGAGAGATAGCTCAGAGGTTAAGGCACTGGCTGCTCTTGCAGAGGCCCCGAGTTCGATTCCCAGCACCGACATGGTAGCTAGCAACCACCCGTAACTACAGTTCCAGTTCCGGGGGAATCTGACGCTTTCTTCTGACCTCAGCTGGCATTGCACAACATGGGTACACTTACGGACATGTAGGCAATACACTCATACACATAAAATAAAAGTAATAATAAAGTAGTTTTTTAAAGTAGTGGTTAGAGTGCAGTGGAACAATCATAAATGAACATGGACCTTTTCTTTAAAAACTATTTTATAAGGAACAATTGCTATGAGTACTGAAATTGTATACATTTTATTTCATTATAATGAGAGTGTCAGTGTATGTGATATGGAATATTCTAGCAGAGAAAATAATATGTGAAATGAACAGATGTCCAGAAAAGTTTTCTTTTTATTTTGGGGAAAAAAATTCCAATTTTTTCCTCAAAATACATGGTCTAGGGAAGACAGCTAGAAAGGAAGTGAGTCAGGAGGCAGACATAGTCCTCTAATCTCGATCAGCATGTGGAGTTGTACATTCTTTCACATCTGATTAAGAGGAAATTCAGTTAAGAGTAAATTCTCATGGGCCTCTGGCTCCCCGGCTTGCAGGAATGGTGTTTGTGACCTGTCTGTTTGTGGTTTGCTGTTCTTCTTTTGGCAAAGTCTGAGAGACTCTCAAGCTACATTTCTTCACCAGTAAAACAGGAGAAAATATTGAAGCCCTAGTTATATTGCTGTGTTGAAAAAAAAACAATATATATGTAGTACTTGAATTATGCAAAGACTGTGAGAAGAGATGAACAATGAATGCATCACATTGTTATTAGGGGCTTGATGCATAGAAGTAAGAACATTGATTTAAATTTTAGATAAAACAACTCTGTTAAGGAATGTGATAAAAATATATTTCTATTGAACATAAATAGATTTTATGTGGTACTCTAAGAATATTCATATAAAGAAAATATATGCAAGCCAGCTGTGGTGTGCACATCTTTAATCCCAGACTGGGGAGGCAGAGGCAGCTGTGAGATTGAGCCAGCCTGGTCTACTGTCCTAGTTTGTCTCTCCATTGCTGTAACAGAATACTCTTGACTAATACCAACTTGGGGAAGAAAGGGCTTATTCAGCTTACATCTCCTGGATCACAGTTTATCACGGAGCCCAAGGTAGGAACTCAGGGCAGGAACATGGAGGCAGGAGCTGGAGCACAGGCCATGGAGGAGCACTGCTAACTGGCTTGCTCCCCTGGCCCCTGCTCAGC